AACTTGATCAAGCTCTTGGTGAGCTTTAGCTTGAATTTCAGGATGATTAGCTAAAACAGCAGTTAGCCATGTCAAACTTGAAGAAATTGTGTCCTAAAATTTAATATTAGAAAAAAAAAAGCAATCACTTTTATTAATTTTATGACTTATTAATTTATTTATAAAATTCAAATACTTACAGTTCCAGCAACAAATAAATTGTCAAAAACATGAATAATATCAGATTCATCCAGTATACCTTCGTTTACTTTGTTAAGCATGTCTCTAATAGCACAAGGTCTCTTTTCATTATCTTTAACATCTTTAATTATCTTTTTAAAAAAATCCTCAGATTCGGTTCTATTTTTGATCACCGTATTATACAACCTATTACCCGGCAACCATTCTAATATTGGGAAATATGAAGAATATTTATGTGTTGCTGCGACAAGATATAATCGAGTATCCAACCAATTATTAAATTCTTTATAAAATGGGTTCTCAAAACTTTCTGTACGCTTGCCCCAGCAAAATAAAGCGACAACATTAAATGCAGTATGATGAAAATAACTTTTTGGATAAAAACCATCTTTTGTGTTTTTTTCTGAAGCCTTACAAAGATTTTGCATAAGTATAAGATATTCATTATCTATTATATCAGAATTTTCTTTTAGATTTCTTTGACCTAAAATTCCATGCACTATATTTAAAAATTCAAAATAGAAATTAAATAATTTGAGATTGAAAGTATGTTATAAAAAAAATGAAATTATAGATTTACCAGTAGGAATAAGCATTTTATATCTTTCATTATATGGACTACTAATAAAACTTTTGTTTCTATGTAGTAACTCAACAGTATAATAATTTGGTGGACGAGACGAATATTTTGCACCTCCTATTATTTAAAACAATTCTTTCATTAAATATCATAAATTATTAAAATATAGTAACGAATTGAGTTCAAAAATTTTGGAATTAACTTACGCTTTTGTAAAAGTTCACCAATAACTTTATCACCAGTTAATATAATCCAATACTGTTGACCCATGTATACACCATAAATATCACCTAAACTCCTTGCCCATTCGGTTAATCTATTCAAATGACGGAATACATATATGCAAAAATAATTTAATTATTCTAATTAACAATTCTTATAGCATATTTCTCTTACTTTTTGTGTGGCTCAGGCCCAAGTTGTAAAAAATGACCTTAAAAAAGAAATTCACGTGATAAATAAACATTGTAAATTCAGGAAATTACATCTTAACCATTTTAATACTAACCAATATAGAACCTTCTACCAGGTGGAGAAGGAAGCGTTTTAAGACCACGCGGAGTATTTGACCTAAAGCCATAATAATAGAACAAGAGACATACCAACAAGAAATAAACTAGATACATTTTTCCTGATAAAAAATTGACTTATTTTTTCAATTTGGCAAAGATTTATTTTTTTAGTTTTATTATTAGTAATTTTAACATATAAAGTAACATATGGGTAGTTATTTTCGAAAATGGACCAAAAGCTTTACGGTAGTATATTTATAGCTGTTTTCAAAAAGGTGTAAACAGGCATGTACCATTGTATTGTAGGAAATCGCATGATTTCTCGATTTTCCTGATTCTGCGAATAATGGGAATCAAAGGGAAATCAAGGAAATCGTGCTTTTGAAACATCTGTAAATTATTAGCGATGTATGTATTTGTAATCAGTAATGTAATTTGAACCCCGACACTGATCTGATCATTGATATGATCACAATTTACATTCAAAAATAATAATCCATATCAATTATTTCTTACATTAATAATATTATTCGCAGTACAAGGACAAAAAATAACTGATCAAACTGTAAATATTCATTTATTGTAAGGCCAACTTGTTGTAGTACATAATAGCGTGGCATTAGTTGAATGTTCTTTTTAAATGATGAATCCTTTTTCATAGAAAGTTAGCTACTATATACTGATACCTTATATAGCATAGCGGGCTTTATTATGATTGGCTGATTTTTGTAGATCATTTTATCATAAGGAAGTCCTATTAAAGTAACGAT